GCTGTGCAGAGCCACGGCACGTATGGAGCAGGGCAAGCCCCAGACCCTGCTCCCCGGCAGGAGCTCAAGGGCCAGATTAAAGCATCTGAAGGGCTGGATGCGGCCCCCAGGCCACAGTTTGCCCACCCCTGGGTTAGACACAAGTCCTGCATCTTGGCAGGGGGTTGGATTAGCTGACCTTTGCAGTCTCTTCTAACCCTATGATTCTAGATGGGACCAAACCGTAGGAAATCTGGGGTCGGGGGATTCCAATTGCTGCAGCTTAATTTGGATTCCTGCATGAAATCCCACAAGCATGCCCAGGTGTGAAAGGGAGCAGCAGTGTGATGTGTGCAGTCTATAGCAGAGAGGCACAGTCACTCTACAGCAGCCTCTCTGGAGAAGATGATGTTCCACTGTTATGGGAGCATTCTGTATCCAGTCTGTAACCCTCAGTCCTAATGCATCCATACTCATCTATTCAGATTGCTCCCCCACTTTGCCCCTCAGCCCTTCCGCACCCCCATCTCTGTATGGAAAGGAAGGAAGCAAGAGAAGCTCACAGTTCCTGCTGAGAAGATGACTGAAGTCAATGGTGTAGGAGACCCATTTGCGGGGCAAGACAGAGTCTCTGTAGCCCCAGAGGCTGACGTTCATAGATCTGGCTCCTGGCTCCGACGCCAGACCAGTGAAGTAAATGGGCTCCTTGGAGAAAGTATACTTGTGCCAGCACTGGCCTTCATCCGTCGAGAACCTAGACAGAAAAGGCTTACAGTGAGGAACTGGGGTCACAATCAAGGAGAGACCAGGTGGAACCTTCTGTGACCCCGTTACGTTCAAAGGCGAGGAGGTGTGGAAAGACAGCACAGGCCGCGCAGCTTGGCTTGTGCACAGGAGTGAAGGCCCAGAAGGGGGAGCTTACCAACAGAGCGCTAGGCACAAAGCACTATCTGCCCAAAGGAGAAGGCTCCTTCCCCTCTGAACAGCCCCACTTCCATACAAGCAGCTGCAGAACAAGGGAGGGACGGGAAATCCCAACACTGACAGCAGTCTAGTTTCTCCCTCAGCACCAATCTATATGGACAGAGCTCCGCTTACAGCTCGCCAGAGCCTCCCGGAACCAGAGAACAGACCCCCCCACCGCCCATCCTCTTTAGCAAGTGGAGCTCAGGCTTACTTAATCACATTGATCGGCTCGAGGCTGTGCTCAATGGCTACGATGATGCCCCCGGAGTCCAGGATGGCGTAGTGATGGGGCCCTTCCAGCACCCGTGCCCAGGTATAGCCCCCATCATCAGATATGTAAACGTCTGGGCTCACCACGGAGATGGCATCCCCCACGCTGCCTGCAACACAGGCCCCAACACCACGGAGGTTAGAGCAAGTCCAGGAAGTGTCCCTTCCTCGGGGGCAGACAGACTTATTTCCTCTGACCTTCCCCTGCCCCCCTGCCTTGGTCTGTAGGAACGAGCAACTCATCCCAAATGGATTAAACCTGTCACTTGCCAGCCCAAGGCCCAGAGGATGGATCCTGAGAGTCCCCTCTGCCCCACCCACATAACCCCTCCACTTGCCCTCTCCCTGTGTTGGTAGCAGTCAGGTTCGTTACCGTGAGCGATGACTATTCCCACCACATTGGGCTCGGACAGAGGCAGCATGGGCACATTGTGATTCAGGGAGATGCCGTACAATGCATAGAGGTAAAGGGTACACTGTGAACAACACCAGGGAATCCGGGGGTGGGGAGAGGGGGGGGGGGGGGGGGGGGGGGGGGTATCTTCCTGGCACGTTCCCACCAGCATCTCAGCAAAGCCCAGCTCAGGTTTGTGCCCACCCTGGGCCACTCAATTAATGTAGAGCCAGGGACCTTTACCTGCTTCTTTACCTTTACCTGCTTCTGCCATTTCCATATTGTGCGAGGCACAGACCAACCACACAGGAAAGGCAGCCGTCTGCCCCCAAAGATACCCATAATAGTCTGGATTAACACATTGTGAAGTCTTGGCTGGTGTCGCTATTGAAGTTTACTTTATTACGCATCTCACTCACGCTGCAGGATGCAAATAAACTGAGCAGACAGTCGCCGCATGCAGGCCTGATGCTGCAGTGTCTGGCCGCTAGCCCTGCCACGGGAATAGGTCCCCTTGGACTCGCGCATGGGAAGATGCAGTGGTCTTAAATAAAAGATTGCTTACAAAAAAATGAACTATGGGGCCAAGTCTGCCCTGCCTGCGTCCCAACACATGGCAGTGCCCCACACCCGAGCCTGGCTGCCCTGGGATCCCAGACAGACAAACCTCCTCCTTGTTCTTTGCTGTGGAGTTACATTTAGCGTTGACAGGCATCCTCAGCGGCAGCCACTCGCCACCTTGGTCGAACGTTATCACCGACTGGATGGAACGGTCTGGGAGGAGGAGGAAACACTTGGTGTGAAACCCTCCGTGTTTCGTATTCCACTCAGCTCACTCCAACTCAGCCCTCCCGTTGAAGACAGCAATACAGTCTGTCTCGGTCCATCTAGCAGACATCCCACCCCCGTGAAACAGGCAGCCTGGCTGCAGCAGAAGGTGACGAGTCGATTTCTCCCTGGCAGCTGACCCATGTATATTTCTGCTGCACCGTTTTCCCAGTGTAGAGAGCTCCTGCTAGACTGCACCGAGGCAGTTTCTCTCCAGCTGCAATCACTGCACTGAGACTGTTCCAGTTCAGGACTTCAAGACTAGTAGGAGCCCAAGGATTGGTTCAGCCTAGTAGTTCAGTAATGGGCAATTAGAAAGCTCCCCACTTACACCAGCAAGCTGTCCAGGAGACAGCAGAGGCGAAGAACCATCCTTGCAGACAAAGGAGGAACATGCAAGTTTCAAGGATTTTTTTAATCGTTATTAAGCTCCCTCCCTGCTGTGCCTTAGAAGGCAGAATGGACCTGCATGGCACAGTTAGTGCCGTTCACCATATTGGCTCATACTGCCATGGACTACTCGCCTCCCTTTGTATATCACTGCCCCGGTTCAACTGCAAATCCAGACACCCCAGTGAGAGCGCTGTGTTTCCTCCCAGTGACGCCCCCAGGTGTGCCTGCCTAGTGCCATAGCCTGCTGAGCAGCACAGAACCCCAGCAGGGCTCTGCCAACAACCTGATGCTTTCAAGCTCAATGAGTAGAGTCCTGTGTATAGAAAGGTCTAGGTCTCGCCCCCTCCCCCAGCCAGAATAAATCTGTCCAGGCTTTTGGAAGCCAACCCAGGCTCTTCCCTGAAGACCTCCGGGATGAACCCAAACGTGGCCATTTCCAGCCCCGCAGGAGACTCACGAGTGAGCAGAGAAAGGGTGTTGGACTGAAAGTTGTTTTGCACCCAGAGGCCAGCCGCTACTTTACTCCTGTGAGCAGGCCCACCAGCATCAATGGGAGCAGGACTGGGCCCACTGACTTCAATGGGGCTACTCGCATGAGCAAGGACTGCACGCTATCCAGTCCTGTAAGCCAGGCCCGAGTGAGCCCCACAGACAGCGTAAGGGTTGGACTCAAACAGGAGTAGGCAAAGGACAGCAGAGATACACCCCATCCTTCTTGGGCCTCGGTGGGCCCCAAGGCATTCCTGAGGCCTGGTGCAGAGCCCGGGAGAATTGTGCCCCCCAGGAACAGGGAGGGGCGTTCAAGAGAAAGGTTCTGCCTCGACTGAAGCTTTAGCCCGGGCCCTTCCCTGGTGCGGGGGCTGAGGAGTTTGCTCTACCGCAGCCTCCTGCTGGGTGCAGCCCATCCCCCAAGAGCGAGCGCTTGCCTTCAGAGAGCACGCTGGTGATATAGACGCCCCGCAGCGAGGTCACATTGGTGAAGTCAGTTTCACTCCCAATGCCTGTGTAGAGATGCCGTTCGAGGGACTTGGAGTAGATGAGGCCTCGATCGTCTGAGGTGTAGATTGTGCCACACCCAGTATCTGCAAGACAGACAGATGATACAGCTCTGGAAGAGGAGCAAATCAGACACAGCTGGGCAATCAGATAACACCCACAGTGTAATTGTGAAAGAGGTTACCAGGCCAGGGAAGTTTCCTGGTCACACCCGGACTCAAGCCTCCACATGCCAGAGTCACACCTTATGCTGCCAGTGCTGACACAGCATCGCATCAGCAATTTATCCCTAGTTCACATGGCGGGGTCAGAGAGAATCAGCAAGTCCCAGAGGAGAAGCAAAGATGGCCCATGAACTCCAGCGCTCACGTGGTGTGATGCTGCCAGATGCCAAATTCTTTGCTTCTACTTACAGCTGGCCTTGGAGACAGCACTTTCACCCTCTGCTTTGCCAGGAACGATGGCTCAGCAGTTAGGGTGCCAGACAGGGACTCTGGGCTTGATCACAGACCATGTGTATGTGGCACCCCGGGCAAGTCACTCAGTCTCTCTGGCTTCAGTTCCTCATTTGTACGACAGGGATAACAGCCCGGCCCCACAGGAGTGTGAGAGGATAAACCAATGACAGTACTCTGGTAACAGGGCCATCTGAGCAAACGTCTCCCTCTGTCCAAAGCCCAGTATTGATCCCGAACCCCTTAGCTTTACCAAACCAAAACCAGTGCAACTGAAATGTCACAGGCATGATCATGTGCCGGGGACAGCTTTCCTGAAAAGTCTGAAGCCAGACAGTGGTGCAGAAGTGAGGATTACACTCAGCGTAACTCTGGGCGGTCATTAACTCTCAAAGCATGCAGCCTAGAAAGTAGAAGTTTGGGTTAATCTGCTGCTCTGGAAGCCTGGTGCCATGGAGGAGTTTGCTGGGGAGGGATTTGGGTGGATAATTTAAGTGTTTACACGTATCTGACAGGCAACTTCAGGTGACACACAGCTATGGCATGGGGAGAGTGGCAAGGAGCACAGAGGGGACCCCCTCAATCCCCATCTCATGTGGCCACCAGCCTGATGAAGCTCTCTCCATGACTGGAGAACGGGAGGGCAGGGAGCTACATGGGGTGTCCAGTCTTTGAAAGGAAGACTCCACAAAGGGACTGGTCTGAGAAGGAGCAGGGCCATCTGCTGAAGTCTTAAAGAATATTCCCTAGCAAAATATTTCAGTCAGGGTTAAGACTGTAAAGATCAGTTACTCCCAGGAAAAGCCTCTGAAAGAATGCCACACTGTTCGGAACACTCCACAAGCATTAGAAAGTCAGAGGTAAGGCTAGCCAGGTAACCTTAACTCTGCCCTTGTATCACTACTCACAAGGCAGGCCTACTTTCCAGCAACAAACTTGTTGACTGCATCAGTGACTCTGAAAACTGACTTGTGATCTAACTGGTGTGCTTTGGTCTTGCTCCTAGTTTGCACTGGGGAATTTAAATTGAAGGGCACTTGTCTTTCCATCACTACAAGCTGCTCTTACCCTCCAAGACCATGAACAACTGCAGAGGAAATAAAGGAGACTGATGCACTTCTCTTCATCAAAGCAGGCTGGATTCAGGACCATAAGAGTCAAAGGACAGATTTTTCAAATGCCGTAAGTACCACAGTGAAAGATTTGGCACAGATAAAGGGCTAATTACAGGGGTCGGCAACCTTTCAGAAGTGGTGTGCCGAGTCTTCATTTATTCACTCTGATTTAAGGTTTTGCGTGCCAGTAATACATTTTAACGTTTTTAGAAGGTCTCTTTCTATAAGTCTATAATATATAACTAAACTATTGTTGTATGTAAAGTAAATAAGGTTTTTAAAATGTTTAAGAAGCTTCATTTAAAAATTAAATTAAAATGCAGAGCCCCCCGGACCAGTGGCCAGAACCCAGGCAGTGCGAGTGCCACTGAAAATCAGCTTGCGTGCTGCCTTCGGTACGCGTGCCATAGGTTGCCTACCCCTGGGCTAATGCTTCTAAGGAAACAAACTTAAGTTGTGGACCAAAACTTAGGCAACTTAAATGATGGGGTGCAGGGTATCGTGGAAACCACATGCATCTCAGACACACAATGTACAAAACCATAGTGTATGTATGTGGCTATGGTATTCCCACAGCCATGGGCTACCAGGAATTAGAGCCCTTGCTGGACTCTCCTTCAGAATGCTGCCTCCTACATGGAAGGTGCAGTGGGTACACAAGGCAGGTCAGTGCAGAACGGGACAAAGTTACGGTTGTTTCTATACATAGAACATACGGGCAGGGGAGTTATGTGAATTGTCAGCTTGGCTTTGCATTTCCTAGGGTTTGCTATCAGAAGACTACAGTGTTCTCTTGAGCAGAGATTTACAATCAGCTCCAGTTGGATGAAGCATTGGAACTGACATTTGGATCTATTCAGGCATGCATCGCCCACCTGCCCTCTATCACTCACCTCCAGGGTCATCCACATGCATGAACACCATGTCCTCGTTAGCTGCCAGGATGGAGAAGAACTGCTCCTGACCCACAGATGGAAGCTGGGCCATATTCCAGGTCTCCCCTTGGTCAGTCGAGACATGGATCCTCCTCGTATTGCCCTGGAAGGCAAGCACAACCTTTATGCTGCACCACCAATGGCCATAGTACTCAAGTGTTCGTCAGTGCCTACGCTCCGGGGGCCTAGATGGATCAGAGAGGGTGACAGGGAAGAGAAGCAGGAGCGAGAACAGTCCCGGTACTAGATCAGGACACAGGAATGGGATGAACAACTCTGGACAGCCACATGCTCATTTATGCCCCTGCCTCTTCCCAGCCCCTTAAGGCACAATCACATTCACACAGACCCTGCACCCACAAACCCAAAGCAGGACATCTATCCAAACCTGGGCCATGGCCTTCCACATGGAAACAAAGAAAGGCGGCGACTCCGTGGACTCGCAGAGCCATATGGAAGCCAGATGGAAAAGAGTAAAGCAAATCTCCTACCTTCTCCGTCACCACAGAAGTAAACAGGAAGCGACCTCCTAGGCCAAACGAGTAGATTTTGTTTCCTATGGTCTTGAAGCTTTTGCCAAAGTCATTGGTTTTCTTTAGCTCCAAAAACCCAAGATCAGTTTCTTAAGAGAAGGAAATGACAATGAATGTTGCTGCAGTAGAGGAGGGGACACTGAGGTGAGGTTGGTATAACTACGTCACTCAAGGGTGTGAAAAATCCACACCCCCTGAACAAAGTAGTTAAACCAAAGCCCCCAGTATAGACAGGGCTAGGTCAATGGGAGAATTCTCTGGCGACCTAGCTATCACCTCTCGAGGAGCTGAAGTACCCATGCTGGCAGGAGAAGCTCTCCCGTCGGCATCGGTAGCGTCTTCACTGAACCGCTGCAGTGTTTTAAGTATAGACAAACCCCGAGGTTGGGAAGTGCTGATCCCCCTTAAAGTCCGTTCCTGCCTCACCACAGCAGTTTCTCACCCAGCCCCTCCCGCACTCCAGGCAGAACCTCATCCTGAAGCATGTCAGCTCTAAAGGCTACTAGATTGTCTGTCACAGACTGCCACCCTGCCAGTGCCCACATCCTGCCATCAGCAGCTTAGCCTCAGCCTGCCCAGTGCAGGATTCCACACCAGGCTGCCCCTGAAACCTCAGACAACCCTGGCTCTACTTCACAACACAGGCCTGTTCAGCTTCCTTTCCACCTTCTGTGCTCGCAGCCCTGGAACAGGGCGGATTCATCTGCGCTCCGACATCACCCACCTTTCGGGATCCCACCATCACATCTCAAGCTGGCAGTGATTAAGTCTCTGGGAAGCCCTAAGGAGAGCAAGATCTCCCCCCAGACGTCCATCTCGCCTCACTTCTCGACACCCAAACTCTCCCACAACACACTAAGGAGCTGTAGCATGAGCACTGTCAGCCTCCGTTCTCCCTCACCCACTCCCCAGCATCAAACCCATCGGTTTGCTTAGAGTTTTGTGAGGGTATTATGGCATCATGCTTTCGTGATCGCTGGCGAGCACTTGGAGAATTCTGACCTGTGGGACTGCTACATTTAAAACAGACTGGAGGTGTAATTTACATAAATTGTTTAACCTGTAAATCCAGGCATCTAAGTCACCTTGTATGGTGCCTGGCAGGAGGGGGACACACACAGTTAACAGGTTTCAGAATCGCATGTTAAAATAGCTACCGATTAGCTTTATACAATCTCCAGAGCATTTGAGCTCAGGACCATTCACTGGCCTGTCCCTAGCTCCTTGGGCAAATGAGTCAATTGCTAACAGCTGATGATTTATTAAGGTGTTTTCAGAACATGGAGCTGAAGGGAAAAGGCTTGTGAAATCTCTGGCCTCACACACACACACAAAGTGGCTTTGATTCTCTGATACTGCACAACTGTTAGTTGGAACCAGGGAGTACTTACTGCAGGAGTCATTCAGGTAGGTGGTGAAGAAGATGGTGGTGTCAGGGCCCCTAGAAACAGACAGGAGGGGGAAAAAGAGTGCTTAGAAAGCGGATATACGAAAAGCGGATCAACAGCTGTGTCAGGCTGTCTACACTGCAGTTAGAGGTGTAACTGCAGCTTGGGTAGGCAGATCTGTGCTAGCTTTCTTTTAACTAGCATTGCTCAAATAGCCATGAAGACGCAGCAGCACATACACCGGCGCAGGCTATACAAGCACACCCAGAACACGTTGCCAGAGTCCCTACAAGCATGTCTTCTCTGCTCCTTTTAGCTGCACTAGTTATATTAAAACTAGCGCAGGCATGCCCACCTAGGCAGCAGTCACACCCCCGATTGCAGTGTAGACATACCCATAATTTTACACAACATGGGGACACAGGTGAAGCCAGACTCCCTGAGCAGGGACAGCTTCTATCTCAGTGGTATATTGGGATTCTACAACACATGCACCTGTGAGGACTGCTACAGGGCCTTTCAGAGAACCGTGGGTCCTTTTACTCAAAAGTCTGGGGAACATCCAAGGGGTTTGTGAACTGCAATCAGATAGCATCCATACCGCACACACTGGCCCTGTCCAGGTAGTCACTGAAGGACTAGTTTGACTAGATACAAGTAAGTTTGTGATGAAGCTTCTACCTACCAGAAGCAGGGCTGAGACCCAGCAAACTCACGGCACCCAAGCCCATGGTTCCTAAACTGTTCCAGTCTGAACTGAAAGCTATCGGATGCACGTGTCACCTTGGTATCCAGGACCAGAATGCTGAGTGGCATTGCTGACTCCAAGGGGTTCAAAATCCAGCGAGACTAAGTAAACTGGGAATCAACTTCAAAAAATCCAAGGTCCTCTCACCTTCTAAGGCTAGGTCTACACTACCCGCCTGAATCGGCGGGTAGAAATCGACCTCTCGGGGATCGATTTATTGCGTCCCGTCGGGACGCGACAATCGATCCCCGAATCGACGCTCTTACTCCACCAGCGAAGGTGGGAGTAAGCGCCGTCGACAGGAAGCCGCAGAGGTCGATTTTGCCACCGTCCCTACAGCGGGGTAAGTCGGCTGCGACACGTCAGCTACGCTATTCGCGTATCTTAAATCGACCCCCCCCCGTAGTGAAGACGTAGCCTAAGTGCCCTCCCTCCCTCTGTAGCAGCCAGGAAGGAGGATTGTGGGCATCGATAGGCAGAATCTGACATGAACGGGTGCAGCACAGGCACAGTAGTTTATGCACACATTAGAGAAGTGAAGCAGCCAAGCAGGAACCAGAGTATTTATCAGACGGCCAAAGGTCTAAATGAAGTGTGCGATGAACAAAGACACTCAGATAACCCCAGTAAGGAAGGGTGGCTGGCCAGGGTATGGGGAGGCTCCAAAGCAGACAGTTAGGTGAAGCCAGTCAGGCAGGTTACCAGATGAGCCCAGCCAGAGGCCCGTGGCTGTGTGCAGAGTTCTAGGCACTCCATGTGCAAAGAGTGGAGCCTTCCATTGAGGGAACACTCAGTCCATGCTTTCCCAACCCTCAGAGGGCAGTTTGCTGCTCCTGATGGAAGAATCTTTGTCCAGGACACTGCATTATGGTAGGGAAGACTCCCCAGCCCCCAGAGGGATGGGACACTTATTTCAAAATCAAAATGTATTAAACATGAGAGGCATGAACCCCTCATGCTGTTGGGCTTCCTCTATGGGGAGAGAGGAGACAGAAAAAGAGTGCAGGAGAGTTGATGGAAGTGCCACAAGCAGTGTTGAGCAGCTCCTGCTTTCCTTTGGCGGGAGAGCTTAGAGCAGCGGACACCGAGTTACCATTTGGCTACTCACCATTTTGCCAGACAAACAGCTTTGTGGATTTCTTCCCACTTCTCCCCAAAGTTCCTGGACACCCAGAGGCTGTTCTGAAAAGTTCAGTAGTCAGACAGGATTGCTGGTTACTGGCTGTGTTACCTCTAATGCTTCAAATAGCATCTGGCCTAAAAAAAGGCAGAGCCAACCCTCTGAAATGGAACACACATCAGGGCTTCTAAATACAAGACCACATAACACTCCCTGGAAAGTACCCACTGTATGTTTCAGACTCAGGAATAGAAGTTCATCCCCCAGAATCCTAAAGGGCTAAAGGACACAGCAGCTGTGATTTGTCATTCTTCCCCTTGTGGGATGCTACCACCCGACCCCACCAGGTGTCGCTGCAGAACTCAATCCAGGACATCTCACAGAGCACACTGGCAGCTATGTAAGAAAGCAGAGAGGAGAGGGAGTGGGATGTGTCCTGTCTCTTACTTCGGTGCTGAGGACCAGCAGGTTGTCGGAGTTCTGCGGGTGGTATATGACCTGACTCTGGGGCTGAAAGGGGAGATCTGTCTGAGCAAAGTTCTTAGCATAATCAGACGATCTGAAGATCTTTCCTCCACGGCTCCCTCCAGGCACAGGCATGTCCCCCGTCAGAATCACCTAGACAAGGAGCAAGAGGGAGACCAGGTCAGCGAGGGTGCACATGCCTTCACCGCGACAGTCAGCCTCGGCCACATCCCCCGCACCAGCTGTGCTGACCTGCTCCAATACAAATGGGCTTTGTGTGGCTCACTCAGCCCCCATTTCCCGGCAATGGGATCAGAACCTGCACTTCCTGGCAGTGGGGCTCCAAGGGCTTCACAGGCTCTGGCTAAGCCCAGAGAGATAGGCACTATCCCCGTTCTACAGACAGGGAAACCGAGGCACAGAGCTGTGACGTGACTTCCCCTCAGTCTCCCAGCAGGTAAGTGGAGTGTTGGGAGCAGTACCCAGGAGCACACCACTACCCCTCCTCTGAACACCAGTCAGCACTGCCATGTGGAGAGGTGCATTTCAATGAACAGAAGTGCATTGCTATGCACCATGAATGCAGCCCTCATGAAGGCCAGCTCCATCCCTGACTCAGGAGCAGTTCCAGGGAGTGCATGCTGTCCAAGAGCACATCAGCAGCTGTCTCCTACCTTCCCCGAGTTCTCTGGGCCGATGGCCATCCCAAGCTCCGTCCGGATGAAGGTGTGGTTAATGAGCTTTGTGATGTCTATGAAAGTTTTTCCATAGTCCTCGCTGAGAGGGAAGAAAGTAGATAATGACTCTTCTAGAGCAGTGGTTCTCAAGCAGGGGTCTGGGGCCTCCTGGGGGGCTGTGAGCAGGTTTCAGGGGGTCTGCCAAGCGGCACCAGTGTTAGACTCACTGGGGCCCAGGGCAGAAAGCCGAAGTCCCACCACATGGGCCTGAAGCCTGGGGCCCTGAGCCCCACCACCCAGGGCTGAAGCAGAAGTCTGAGCAACATAGCTTCGCGGGGGCTCCTGTGGCATGGGGCCCTGGGCAATTGCCCTGCTTGTTACCCTCTAATGCTGGCCTTGCTTTTATATGCAGAAAACCAGTTGTTGAGGCACAGGTGGGCCGTGGAGTTTTTATAGCACATCAGAGGAGCCTCAGACAGAGAAAGGTTGAGAGTCCCTGGTCTAGGAGATGGGATGCAGCACAGGGGACAAGGTGTCACGGATGCTTCAGGGACAACTGCTGGGATTAGAGAGCCTCAAAGAAGGAATGTGCTGGGCACCTCAGAGCAGCTGCTCAGTGCAGCCGGCAGACAAAGAACGGAAGCATTCCATGGCAAGTGGCTGCTTTTCCAACACTCACGCTAGGGAGGAGCCAACCTGCAAGAGTTCCAATCACCCAGGACTGGCCCAAAAGGGAGTCACAAGACCACCAAGCCAGTCCCGTATTGCTCAGCTCCGGCCTACAAGGCTCCTCCCCCCCAAAAAAGGTGTTTACCCAGGACTGAGGATATTCCAGTCTCCAGTGAGCCCCACAATCCTTTGCATCAGTGCAGAGGAGTCTGGGAAGCTGTGGGTACTGGTCACTCGTGCACATGCGGAACCAGGGCATGATTTGGTAGAGGGAAATGAGTGACCAGGCACCATGCGCCAGGTTCACCGAGTGCTTGCTCCTCACTGGCATGAAAACGGTCTCAGCGACTGAACACCCAGATTCCCAGAGCAGCCCAGAGCTGTTCTTGTCACCCTGCAGCACGCCCACCCCACTGGGCTGGGCAGAGTTTCTTTGCATTCCTCACACTCTCCCAGGCACATCAGAGGAAGAGGCAAGATACGCCCAAGCCCTTAGCAATTATCCCCACTTGAGGCATCTCCCATTCCTGAACGGCAGCCCAGCACCCGTCAGCTGGGGTGACCAGTTTAGAAGCCCTGCCTCCCCTACCACACCCCAGGAGGCTGCCTGAGCCTGCTGGCAGCTCAGCCTCCCTCCAACTCCTCCCCCAGTGGGTACGCCACGCTTACGGCTGGCCTCCCGTGAGCGAGAGAGAGCGCTGCGGCATCAGGTCAGATAGGCAGACGATGCAGCTCGCCAATTCACTGAGTTAATCAAATCAGCTGCATGCATCAGGCACTGGGGGCCTCACCTCCTGTAGAGTTTGGACTGCTTGAAACTCACGAACAGCAGCGGTAACTTGAATGTGGTCAGGACGAGAATAACCTGGCCAAAGAGAAGACCAGAGCGTCAATCTTGGGGAGCGCTCACTAGCAGCTCCTCCCCCAGGCAGCCTGCAAGTGCAGCCCTCAGCTCACCCCCTCCACTGGATTTACTGACCCTGAGAAGGGGTTTGACAACCCCTTAAATACCCACCTCAGGACAGTCAGTTAGTGCTTTGACCAACCCTCCACCCCACTCTTACCCCTCTCATGTGGCTTCTCCCAGGGAGAACGGCTTTAACAAGACAGGGACTCGCTGGCCAAAAAGGTTTGTATTTGCCAGGGCAGGAAACGAGTCTGCTGGGGAGGTACCCCCAAATCGCAGGCTATCAGACAGTCATCTGGCCTCCAGCCAAATCCAGGGGCAGGTTATTGGCTCAACCCACCTCTCCTCAAGAAACAGCCAATCCCAATGTCTTTAAGGCAGCAAATGCCATGAGCTAGTATCTAAGGATGGTCTTATAGGGTTATACGGCACCTTCACCTCCCAACATACAGCCACTTCTAGGGTGGAAGGCACCAAGCTACGGACAGCACAATGCACAACACTGATTGGGGAGGAAGGGTTGGCCAGGCTTTAGGACAAACCATTCCTCCCATGAGAAGAGCCAAGGGATCTTTGATGTCCACAGCCCAGACAAGACCTTGGGATGTAAGGTCTCGCCCAGCAGGCCCACACGTAGGGGTGGCTGAGGAGCTGAGCCAACTCTGCCAGGGCTTGAGCCAAGAACTTCAGATAGGGGCTTGAGCCTCCAAGCTGCTCTGTGAGAACCAGCCTTGTCCGGGACGCAGCGGCCGTCTGATGAGGGTGAGGGAGGTTGGCTGCCTCAGCAGTTCTTTCCTGCAGGAGCCCACGGGAGTGTAGGTTGCCCTGCCTGATAAAGACAGCAGAGCCCTGCCCTGCCTGGAGCTGTAATTTAGAGGGTCAATTCCAGGGGTTGGAGGAGCAGCCGCCTTGCGATAGCTCTACAGACAAACCCTCCGACTGCAGTTGCTCAGCGAGCAGTCCTGGCTGTGAAGGTTTCCTAGCAGCAGCTCACTTGCTCCATGTTCAGACACTTCTAATGGGCATCAGTCACACAAGAGCACGGCTCAGCACCATCCCATTCCTCAAATGCCAGGAGCATCTATAGATCCCAAAGCCTGAAGGGACCACTGCAATGTTCCCGCTAATTTTTTACATCCATGTGCAGAATGAATTTTGTTCTGTGCACCAATATGGAGGTGATGAGTGGCGGGGGTGGGGCCGAGGGGTTTGGGGTATGGGAGGGGGCTCAAGGCTGGGGCAAAGGGCTGGGATGTGGGGGAGTGAGGGCTCCTGCTAGGGGTGCGGGCTCTGGGGCAGAGGGTTGGGGTGCAGGAGGTGAGGGCTCTGGCTGGGGGTATGGGCTCCGGGGCTCAGGGCTGGGGCAGAGGGTTGGGATGCGGGAAGGGGTGAGGGCTCTGGCTGGAAGTGCAGGCTCTGGGGCTCAGACAGAGGGTTGGGGTGCGGGAAGGGGTGAGGGCTCTGGCTGGGGGTGCAGGCTCTGGGGCTCAGGGCTGAAGCAGAGGGTTGGGGTGTGCAGGCTCTGGGCTGGGGCCAGGGATGAGGGGTTTGGGGTGCAGGCTGCCCTGGGGAGAGAGGACTCCCCCCAGCTCTCTCTTGCCGCAGCAGCCCATGGCTGGGGGAGAGGCGCCTCTCCCCGCCGCAGCCCTGCACGCCCCCTACCTCTCTCCTCTCCAGTATAGGCCCCTGTGGCTGCGCACCTGCACAGCCCTGGGGAACTTAGGACCACTGTGATCATCCAGTCTGACCTCCTGCATAGCCCAGGCCAGAGACCTGCCCCACAATCATTCCTAGAGCCCATCTTTTAGACAAACTTCCCATCTGGATTTAAAGATGGGCAGTGATGGAGAATCCACCATGCCCCTCGGTCAGTTGTTCTCTCACCATTACAAATTTACACCTTATTTCCAGTCTGAATTTGTCTAGCTTCAACTTCCAATTCACACTGCAAATAAGGCATCTATTTTGGAAGCTGGGCTCTCGGAGATGCTGGGACTTCAAGATGGATTTAGCACCAATGGGCCACGGGCCGTCTCTCAGTGCAGCAGATGAAGGAACAGGCAGCACCTATCCCTGCCCCACCCCCAAGGCTAACAATGGGGCAGCGTAAACCCTCCATCCCTAGTTCAAGAGGAATGAGCCCCATTGGCCTGCTGGTCATTTCTTACCAGAGCAAAAGGGTGCAGCTCCCCCAGCCCGTCAGGGTCATACAATGCAATGCTCCCATTCTAATCTGTATCAACCCTTGTGCTGCCATCACCCCTGGGTATCTTCCACCAATGTCTGCTGCCTGCGGTTTCTCCTCTCCCCAGAGAGGAGGGGGGTGTGTGTGGTAGAGTTTAGATGGGGGGGTTGTTAATTTTAAAATGTTTATTTTTATTTCTATGTATTTAAATGCTGGGCCCCCCGGAGCAAGACAGAGCTAGATACAGCAGCCAATGGGCAGCGGACCCTGCTGGCATGATGGCAGCCGTGGCCTCCAGCAGCCTCTGTAGAAGGGATCTCGGGCTGGTCTACATGCAGGTTTGTACTGATTTAACAAATTCGCTTGGAAACAGATCGTTAAAAGCAATGCAACCCTCCGGGGTGGCACAGACACATCAGGATAAAGGTGTTCTATCGGCGTAGCTCATTCCGGGAACTGGACCTAAATAAGCGATACCAGTTTAAGCACTGTTCTACCAGCATAACTGCACCCCTGCTGTAGGTTATGTAGATTCGTGCCATTTTAACTATAGTGGCTTCTACAGTGATCTAGCTGGAGTGTTAGACCAGCCCCCACTGGGGACCTTCTCAGGCAGGATTAAATGTCTGGGCATGCAGAACACTGGGAGTGTCCAATACTCAGGAATGCTTGTGCTCAAGGTGAACACTGCTTCCAGGAAGCGAAGTTGTGCTTCCCAGCTGCCTCTCCGGCTTGCCCACCCCCATCACTGCCCCGTCATTTAGAAGGGTTACCTTTTAAAGCCTGTTCAGATCAAATGCACTACTTACTCCAGTGCTGTCTCCAACCCAGGAGAGTGATACAGTGCCGCTGAAGTCATCAAAGACATACTGCAAGGAAAAAGATTGGAGTCACATCCAAACTTCTGCGCTCCACACCCCAGATCAGGCAACAAGCCCCTCTACCTTCTGTCACCAGAGGGGAGAGGATCAGGAGGAATTTGATCTGCATGATGGAGGACCTCCCGGTTACACACACCATCCCAAGGCAGTAATAACCACCCAGCTGCCAGCCAAGATTTGTCTGGCCCACTGGCATTTCCCCCACTCTCACCATAGGTCGCTAGGGATTTCCTGTGCAGTCTATTGCTGAATCAGTAAAGCCAGGAGACACCCCAGCAGGGGCTTTTCCCCCAGCTTAATGCTCCCTCAGGTGGCTTCCTTCACTGACCCCCACACATCCCCTTACGTGGGATGTTGCTGAAATGCCCAATGGATTCTTGCCACACACCCTACGTGTGACAACACAGAGTTTGTCTCCTTGGCAGATCTCATGGGCAGGTGTCCCGAGTCTTCTCTCTCAATACCACCTTGCCCCTTTGGTAGTTCAGGGAACGCTGGGCAGCTTGTGCTGGGCAGGCAGAGCGAAGCAGAACTCAAGCTTTGTGGGTCAAAGGTGCTAAGTTCAACCCCCACTGACCACCTCTCCAAGGGGCTGACATGCTCACGTTTGAACTACAGAGCCATCTTGTCTCTACCCCAAAGCTTTGCGGGGGCCTGGGGCCTTTCCCCTTAGCACTTGATACTCATCAGCGAGTTACTGTAATACGGAAAAAGCGTAGTCAGGTTCCCCTTGTGTCTGCCCTTGAACACACGCGCATGACAGCAGCTCTGCTAGGGGAAGCTGATTTCACTTTTGGTTCTGCTGAAGTGCAGATGCTTGCCCGGTGTGGTCACCTTCACCTAATGGGGCTTCATTGCTAAACCAGGAGCCAGAGCCCCACAAGCGTCATCACGAGGCCTGCGACTGTTTCTAATCCAGTCCTGGGAGAACACAAGAGTGAGCAGCACAGACTGCTCCCAGATCTCACACCCTCATGAGTTAACAACGCCTCTCGTATCAGGGAGCTCCCCAGCAGCCAGTTGGCATCAAGAAGGATCCCCACCCAGAGGGCCAGTAATGGCTGAAAGTTAAGCAGAGCTGGACTCTTCTCCCGTTGGACATAACTAGTCACCTGTAAGAGCAGCACCATGCCGACAAGAAACACTCTGGTGCGTTCGTTTGGCCTTGCAGAGCAGTAAAACTGGGCTGTGCACTTTATCACGAGCACTAGAGTAAACAGTGCAGCCCTGCCACCCTGCAAAGGCATCTGTCTCCAGATAATATTTTCCACAGCTCCTGCTGCGTGCCAGGCAGGACCACAGCAAAAGGTGCACAGAACGCTCCCATTAAGCAAGGAGACAAACTGGACCTGGCCTGAAGAGCCCAGAGGGACACCAGAGAGACGAAGCCAGCAGAGCAGCGATGCTGGGATTTGGCTAGCTAGTGCCGTGTTAGTGCCAAGGAGGAACCTGGCAATGCAAATAGTCCCCTGAGCAGAACAATGAACGCCATCAGTGCCCTGCCCTGCAGTCTCAAAGGTTGCCTCATAATCTGTTCACAATCTCACTACATTTTGAGGCTCTTCATGTTACAGCTCAGCCAGCACTTACGCCATAAAAACCTAGATCAATGGCTGAGCTGGACAGGACATAAACCGAGATCTGGGTTGCAGGCAGAGAAACCTTTCCCCCTCCCAGAGCGGTGACTCCGATATACCTGTGCATCTGAGAACAGGAATCCCAGCATTCTACAGGCAAGACCTGGGAGATGGCCAGACAGTCACCATGGAAATACACCTGGGACCTTGTAATGCTCTGTTGTGAGAGGCCCTGAATACCTTGACTGCGTCAGGAGAAGCACTACCAGTTTCAACCTCAAGTGTCCAGTTACCTTCACTGGAGGGGAGCAGAGACCCAGGGAATACCTGGGGGAGAGTGCAGAATGCTGTTTCTTCACAGCCATGGGCACCTTGCGGCCTCAGTAGTGCAGGGGCGGGGCAGTGCCAACACGGTTACTGAGCTATGCCAGACCTGTGCAAAAGGCAGGCTCCTGGGGAGATCAGAAGGAAGACGAAAGGAGACAGGGAGGCCGTGGAGAAGGCTCTTGCACCAACAATGAGGATGGCATGAAGGACCAGAGAGAGCTGATGCTATACAAACAAGGAGAGGAGTAAACAGAAAATCCAAGAAGTGGGCTGGAGCGAGCCCTTGGAGAGTCACTAGCCTGGGTGACTCTGAAATGGACCCAAAAACAAGTGTGGAGTTTGATGCAGTCTCACCGTTTGGAGTGTGCAGGAAGTGGCTGATGATGTGCTTGAGTGCAGGGATCTGGGACTTTGGGAGACAGGGGAGGGATTTTCAGCAGACAAGGAGAGAGGCATGGAGACACAGGTGGGACTTGCCACAGCCAGGGATTGGCAGCAGCCTACACCAGCCGCACGAGGCAGGTGAAGGAGGAAAGTTCTGGATGAGAGGGGGAGGCAGAGGGACTTTCCAAGCAAAGGAAGGAAAGAGGAAATGACATACATGGCATACAGCGACACGTCGGTGTCAGAGTGGTGGGTATGGTACAGTGCAGACAAAGAGCAGAACCTGTGAGCTGCAGAAAGGGAAAGAGAAGTCAGGGCAGCTGTGCCCCTCCCCCCGGGAGTCAGTGCAGCATTATCAGATTCATCTGAGAGACACCTATTAGCATCTCATTTGAAAAATGAAAAAAATGTAAATTAGCTGCTTGCATGACAGATGGGATGGGGGATACCAGCGGAGGTTACAGACATGCCAAAGTGAATGTAATCCAGACAACACAGGGGCTTTGAGTGTGAGGAAACCCACGGGGGAAATTTACAAATGGTTGGCAAAAAACTGCCCGCTACCAGCCACCTCCAAACATGGAGGCTGACTTTGCATTACTGTCCTAGCCATCCCCAACCCCAGGCAAATCCACCTCCTCGTCCCCTCCTCCCAGGAGGGAACAGTTACATAAAGATTCTGCTTTGACGCAAGATGGGGAACAGTTCTGCTGAGAGCACTGAGTGACTCCCATGGCACATGGCTCACTCACCCAACAATCCCAACAGGTTTTCTAAACACACCTCCACTTCAGCCAAGCGAGATCGGGAAGATTCTGCTTCTCTAGGAACTAAGTTGTGCTTTAATCTCACCAGGCCTCATGCTATGAGGCCATCAAATCAGCCACGTGACAGACAGGAGGCCACGCTGCTATATAGTAGTGTAAAAGACCTCGTGCTTTTGGCCTACCAGTCCATAAGTAGCCAAGCTTCATGGTAGTGTAGCCCCCGCTGCTCAGTCTCTGTTGATAAAGGATGATTTTAACGGCTCCTCTTCATGCAGAAATGGAAAAGATGGGCTTAGCATTTAATCACAGGTACATTGCAATAAGTTCTTACAGCTAGAAGGGGCTCTGTGGATAGCAGCCCTCCCACCTCCTATGAGATGACGTTTGGGCCCACAGCAGGGGTGCAGGTGCTGAACTAGGAACTCTAGGAGTGGCATCTGCAGCAGCACAAAGGTGGCAACAGAGTTTGCTGTCTAAATGCAGGAGGAGCTGTCTGCATGAGAGAGGCTGGCATACCCAGGAACATCACCATGCTAGAAGGCTAGTGGGCGGATTCAGGGCTTGCTTGACTAGAAGCAGGATAGACACTCCTCTTAAGCAGTCAAAACTTGCTTACTCACATAGCTCCTTAGCACAGATGCTGGCAACTCAAATGCATTTCCCCTCAGCACTGACTATCCCTCAGGGAGGCAGAAGGAAAGCTACTTTGCACTTTATAAGTGATCACAGAGTGTTTAATAGCTAAGCCTCAACATGACAGTGTACAGGTAAGGGGCATGAAGAGATCTCTTCCCAGGGCACTGAAATGCAGCCACCTTTGGGATGGAACATGGCAGCTGTTTCTTTATTATTTGCATTACGGTAGCATCTGGAGAACTCAACCAACATCAGCATCTCATTTTGCAAAGCACCACACAAACATCCCCAGCCATACAGAGCTCACACAACAGCACCAGAGAAACGGCAGAGGTTCAAGGCATAAAAGGTCGTGCAATCCAACTGCAATTAGAGGAAGGCTTTAGGGAGCTAGGACAGCAGTTCTCAAACTAGGGTCCGTGGACCTCTGGGGGTCTGCGAGTCATGTCCGGGGCCGCCAGCCCTACTGATCAACTCCTTCCCTTCCCTCCCAGCGCCTCCTGCACGCTGCTGGACAGCTGTTCCGCAGTGTGCAGGACGCACTGGGAGGGAACAGGAGGAGTAGGGACAGGGAGTGCTCAGGGGAGGGCAGAGGCAGGGAAGAGGAGTGGCAGGGGTGGAGCAGGAGTGGGAAGAGGTGGGGCCTTGGGGGAAGGGGTGGGGCCTGGGGCTGAGTGGGGGTTGAGCACCCCTGGGGAAAAAAACAGAAGCTGACTTGGGGGTTCATGAAAATTTTGAAATCAAAATGGGGGTCTTCGGGTTGCTAACGTTTGCAAACCGCTGAGCTAGAAGCTAGCCACATCAGTTGGGAACTGACCAGGACACACAGGGGTTAGACAGACAGACAGACAGGCTTTGTTCTGCTTTTTTTAAAAAAGCAGAAGTGTCCATTTGATTAGCTCTTCTATTATCAACAGTGCTTAGAGAAGGAGATTACAGTGACAGGAGCCTGAGCCTTGCTGCTTAGGAGGCATCAGCAGCATGCTCTGGCTAAGCATGCCACGTGTGCGGGGAACAATTTCGTGTGTAGAAGCTTGAAGAGAATCTCTGGCAAAACTAGTATGAAAAATGCCCTTGTGTTTAATATTTCACATCTTATTAGAGATGACTTGACCCTGTTATGTTCATAAGAGCATAGCTAAAAATAAAGGCCCAGATGTGCTGTGCATCTTCACAACCCACAACGTCAAATACGACATCTAGTGAAATAGGGACATTTTCCAAAGTCGTGAGAATGCCCATTGCTTCCACTTGTCACAGGAAAGGTTAACGACTTGTGTCCGACAGCTCCCCTACT